ACTGGGCCATTCACGAGTGTCACCCAGCGGCATGGCCCCGCCCCTTTTTCTCCTCCATTTCGGGCAAATTTTTCACTGACTCGAGTATAAGCCGAGGCGGCTTTATTCAGCCCAAAAAGTGGGCTGAAAAACTAGGCTTATACTCGAGTATATACAGTATATAAGTCTAAGTGCTATTACTACAATCCCCAGGACTTTTTTTTAATTTAAAAAAACTGTATACTGTTTTTCCTCCTTTCATGTCTTCAGATCCAAAGCTGGAGCAAAACAGCCCCGTTTGCTTACCTTCAATTACAAAAGAGAGCCCGAAAGTCCAAGACCAGTGAATCCGTCAATCGATGCCTCTACTGCTTAGATTTGACGCAAGGCGTGGAACTGGAGCCCAAGCATATTGCCCAAGTCAAATCTGATTTCAAACTCAACCCAAGCGCTGCTACGGGCAGCCCTCCGGAAAAACAACAGACTTTGCTGTACTCTAATTCAGTCATGACGACAACTGCTGCTGCTGCTACTACAACTTCTGCAACAGATGAGCCTAAGAGAGAAACAGATTATAGCAATCTGCACTCTATTCAAATGTCCCAAGGAGAAAAGAAAAGAATGGTCTTAAGAGAAGCCCAAGCGACTCTGAGTGAAAAAAAGTTATTTCTCCTGAAAGAGCACCTGCTCTTCCCGGCGGAAAAGAAACCGGTGCCCATAAAGGAATATAACATCCTGTCACCAGGAAAACCCCAAAGTCTAGAAATGGCCAAGGCCAAAGAGCTAAGGAGCCACGAGCCTCTTCTGTGGAATCAGTCTGGCACTGAAATCACTGCTAAGTCATCCTTAGTCCTGCCACCCCTGAAGGATCCAACGCTCAAACACAGCCTGGATAACTCTCCAAAGAAAAGTAAGGCGGTTCATTCCCAGGCCAGTGAGAAAACTTTCCATGCTTTGGCAGAGACGGTTTCCTGCCCTCAGTTTTTAAAACCCAAGCAGCTCAAGGGCGAGCCGAGGATAGACGCCGTGTACGATGCGGTGAAGGAGCAGATAAAAATGCACCAGATAGCCTCCGCCTTTGTGCCACAGCTTTCCAAGACTTCACTCCTCTCGAGGCGTTTGGATCGGGGCTACTGGCCCTGTGGTTTTCTGCCGGCTAGGAAAAGCCTAACTTTGAGCAGTTCAGTTCAGCTGAGAAGACATGGGCACCTCCACTGCAGCCATTCCCTGCACACGAAAGGAAGCCACGCCAGCAAGGCCAATGAAATTAGGAGCAGGAGTTACAATGGAAGCAAACAGGAAGGAAGCCAGGCCAGATCTCTGGACATCCCACTGCTTTCTGGACTGTTCCCTTCCTTAACGGTCAGCCGGATTGGGTTAACAGCACTGCCTCCTAGGCTGACCTGACTTCTTAATTTGTAATTTGGGGGTTGAGATGTTAATAGATTTGGTTGGCTCGCTCTGTACGAGAACTAATATGGAAGGTTCCCTAATTAAACAGACTGGATTGTAGTCATTATCATCCATGTTCAGAGGCAACCTCTCCTTACTTCTGTAGAAAAAAAAACAACTGCTGGTCAGCTACTCTAAAACAAGAATTTCTGTGGCATTTCAAATGTTGGTTGTTAAAGTTAAATGACTCTTAAGCCAGGAGTGTCCAACCTTGGCAAATTTAAGATCGTGGACTTCAACTTCCTGTACTTTTGGGGAGGTGAAATCCAGATTTTAAAGTTGGCAAGGTTGGACACCCCTGCCTTTCAAAAAAAAAAGTCTTGAAGTGCTTTGCTTTTAGGAGAAAGCTTACGGCGATATTTGTGCCATGGTTAAGTGTACCCACCTAGCTCACTAAGGGTACTGAGGATGGGGCTTTTGCCCTGCCAATCTCTCATGTGCAACTATAAAATGATTCAGATTGTACTGTAGTCATTTGGCCATATATGTGGGGAGGACTATTGCAGGAGGAACAGGATCATATGCTCGGTCTCTCCTAGGGGTCTTTGACTCAAATCTTGTCTTGTTTTAAAGTTGCACACTTAAGACACATTGGAGACAAAATGCAGCCTGTAAATTTAACCAATGTGCTTTATGAGCTCTGTTCATCTTGGCAGGTCACAATCCGGACAGCCCTTCATGGAAGGTATAACAAATGCCCTCTCAGTCTCACTTAAGCCACTTTTGAGATGCTGTTAAGAATTTAGTTTTGAACTTGCCTTTTAATTTAAATGTTTAAACAATTTATAGATAAGTCAATATGTGAAGCAAAGTTTTACTTGTTTTGAGGTTTTGGTCTTTGTTTTTTGGTTTGTATGTTATTTTGACTTCCGCAACTTGCTTAAGACTTTTCTTATCCATGTCAAATTAGATATGTTACCTTGTTTTACCGTCTAGATAGCTTCAATAAATTCTTTTTTTGAATGGACACTGATAGCATGTACCTCGGTATTTCAGTCCAAGCTATTTTCCTGTCAATAACTACCATAATTATCTGACATGTTACCTGATATAGTTTGGTAAGGTAACGACAGCTCTGGGCATCAAATTGCAAGAGACCCTAATCTCACTTAAAAATCTTGATTTGGGGAATCTACTTAGATTCAGAAAGCCTTCCAAGTAATTCTTAGAAAGATTTTGCCAAGAAAATCCTTTTCTTGGTTTTAAAGAAATATATTCCTGGAAACATGCACTTGGAAGGCTCATACCCAAATAATTTGAAAGTTGCATGGTTATACCCCAAGAAAATGATATAGAAAACATGCAGGCTTGGTTGATAGAATGCTTCAATTATTCTAGGATCTACTGCAATGCTTACTATTTGTGTCCATGAACAGTAAAATCCTACATTACATTTGACTAGGAAAATCTCTAGGCCAGTCCCTGGTTTGTTATCAAACTGGCCAGAATAATCTCGACTGAGAAAATCTATATTTGCAAATGAATCTTATATTAATTGCAATGGATATGAGAATGGCATCACTATCAATTTTTTTTTGGTGGGGGAAGGTCAAAAATTATATCTGAACTGACATCATGGATAAGAAAATATAAATAAAATAAAAGCTGCTGTCCAGAAAAAAAAATAGAAAGAAAAATGGTTTTGTTTTATTATATATGTAATAAAATCAAATTAGGGAACCATGCTTAACAGTTTGTAGTTTTTTGTATCAAAAGTAAAAAAAAATATTATGGCTTTGACAAAAAGAATATTTAAAGCAAAACTTACTCTTAGATAAAAGCATGTTTAGGATTAGGTTAGATGTCCCATTTCTTTGGGAGAGGTTTAAGATGGCAGTTTTCTACTGTCTTGTTTGCTGCAAAAATTCACTCAATTTGACTAGTTTCTAAATAAACATACAGGTACTATGACTATGGAGTTAGTGGGAACCATAAATATTTAACACTGCTTGAGAGCCAGTTTAGTGTAGTGGTTAAGGCATCAGGCTAGAAACTGGGAGAATATGAGATCTAGTTCCATCTTAATAGGTGAATTGGGCCAGTCACTTTACCTCAGCCCTAGGAAAGAGGCAATGGGCAATCGCTTCTGAAAAACCTTGCCAAGAAAACTGCAGGGACTTCTTCATGTAGTTTCTAAGAATCAGACATGCTTGTTGAATGGAACAAACAAACAAACACTGTTTAATTGAAGCTCTAATTTATCTTTTTCTGCTCTCCAAAAGGAATGTTTACAATTTATTACTACAGAACTAGGTTTTAAAATAACATATTTAAAATCTACACATATAATACATAGCAAACACTTTACTTTTAGCAGCACTCTCTTTCTCTCTCTCTCACATACACACTTTTTAATTCTCCTAAAAATTAACTAGTTTTTTTTTACACAGCAATAGCATTTAGACTTATATATTGCTTCATAGAGTTTTATAGCCCTTTCTAAGTGGTTTGCAGAGTCAGCTTATTGCCCCCAACAATTTGGGTCCTCATTTTACTGATCTCGGAAGGATGGAAAGCTGAGACAACCCTGAGCCCTGTCAGGATCAAACTCCATGTTATGGGCAGAGTTAGCCTGCAGTATTGCAGTCTAACCACCGTGCCACCATGACTTCTAACATAACAAATGAGCTCCAATTTTTTTAAGGAATCTGTAGGCATGCAAAAAAAAAGGGGGGGGGGGAACCTGCAGTATGTAGAATGGCAAAATAAAGGGCTCCTATTTAGATATATTAACAAATTTGAAACCACTATGGATGGAAACAAGTTATGTAAAGAGGAGGACTGGTTTTTCCTGACAACAACAAATAAACAGACCAGCACTAAATTATGGAATATCCATATAAATGTATATTATGACCTGGCCTGGGACAAAGCTTTTCAGAATGCGATAAAATCGCCTTGTACACAAAAATATATTTTTTAAATGCACTGTTGATAGCACAAATGACCCATGTAAAGCCTTTCTGTTAGCCTACTTAACTTTGGGAGGCGCACTAAGAGATCATTATTAATTTCCCAGTTCCTTGAGATCCATTAACTTAATAGTGAACTTTAGTTAAAAGGAGAGGTTGTGATTTTCAAGTGAAAACTTTGTGGCATGGGAAAGCATCTTAAGACACTATGCCAAGGATTGAAAGTTTCTCCAATTTACTCAAATTCATCAAACTGAGGTCTGGAAAAGTCATAGTTTTGGTATAGCCACAAAATTTCTTTACACTAATAAAAAGAAGGTTCCATCTTTTTGCCCCCCACTAGGAACCAAGCTGGGAAAGAGTTACTCCTTTCATATGCTGTGAGACCCCAAAGCGGCCCAAGAAGTCAAGAATAACTCAACCAACCTCAAGTCTACCTCACCAGAATACATCACAGTCTCTTAAGAAAAACGTGTCTCGGGGAACCAACCAACAACCAAGCGCGGAGTGCAAATTCACCAAAGGAGAACCCATCACAAGCAGCAGAAAAGCTGGAAGTTCCTGCTTTAAGCCTTATACCTACATCCCAAAGATAAATGCCAACCCAGAGGGAGAAAGGGTAAGAGGAAAATTAGACTCCATTCAGACGTTCCTAGGGGAGAAAAGGACTTTGCCGATAAAGGAGTATGAAATTGAGTATTCTCAGCAGGCGGAACAGGAGACCCTGAGCATGCCAAAAGCGAGCCAAGGCCACCCTCCAGACAGCTTGGGCTGCCTCACTTTAAACGCGCTATTGGTCTTCCAGCCAGAAGACGGGGTCATCAACCTGCACCTGGAGCCCCCTCCTAAACCTAAAGCGATAGTAGCCAAGAGATCGGGCAAGAGGCACGGCACTTCGACGCGCATTGTCTCTCGCAGCTGCGCTGCGAAAGAAGCCAAAGAAAAGAATCAAACCAAAGTAGATATAGATCATATGGTGAAAAAGCAAATACAAAAATCATGTACCGCTCTCTGATTGGTCCAGGATGCACGAGGGTTCTGTTTTGTCCTCTTTGCATGGCGCGGGAAACAAAAAAACAACAACTACAAAGCCATTGCTTGGCGAAACCATACAGGTTCCCTTTTATTGTCTATCCCTGTGATAGCAAGCCTATGGCACGCATGCCTGAAGTGGCATGTGGAGCACATATGTTGCCTGTTCCTCTTCTGGGTTTCTGGCTTGTGTATGCAAGCGATGATCAGCTAGCCTTCGTGCGTGCAGCAGTGTCGGTGCACCTACCAGCTGATAGTTCATTTTCCAATGCATGCATGCTCCCTGGGCACCTCCTCTTCCAGGCTGCAGCTCAGATGAGTGTGCGCGCATGCTTCCTTTTGGGCACTCGGTGCTGAAAAGGTTTGCCATCACTGGTCCATCCTCAGAAATACAAAGATTATTTACAAGGCTGGCGGCATCAATAGTAAGTGCCCATTTTTAATGGGTAGAATTATTCACAAGGAAGTAATTGTGGCCAGGGGTCAATTTCCCAAAGAGGTGCAGAACATTATGTACTTGCATTCTTGGGCTTTGCAACTTTTCAGGTTCTTACGTCCCTTGAAAAGTTCCCCTTTAAGAATTTAAGATTCTTCAAGACAAAGATTTACCACACTGCCTCTATGGAAGCAGTTTCATTTAGGGCTATTTAACATATTTGCAATGTTATGCAGGGTGTATACTGCATGTAAACCTCCAATGCAGAGCAAAAGTTCAGATTAACCATTTTACTGAGGGGAGAGAATAAGAGGTAGCATCAAAATATCAAATGGTTGTGTGAATGTTGGTTTCCTCTTTGCAATTCATCTTTAGTTGCCTGCAGGTGAGTGTGCCTGTATCGAGGTATTAAAAAAACACCCAACCCCAGAAGCTTGTGCAATTTTAATAGATGCAACAGTTAACAATCCTATGTGATCTTCAGGAAGCTGACCACAAAGTTGAAGCGGAAAAGTAAAATGTTTTTTCCTAGCTCCAAAGGAAAATAAGCCCAAATTTGGCAAAAAAGGAAGCAGCATTGAAAAGTGAAATATATATATATATATATATATATATATATATATAT